GTAAACTGATTTAGAATTTGTGTTTGATGAATGAGATTAACTGAGTGATAAATGATAAAAGATCTTATTTTTGAAACATATATTTTGCTATAATATTTTGTATCCCATGTGTTTATTATTGTGCCTTTTGACAAAAGATGCCAAGCACTGAAGAGAGATGATTTTTTTATTATGATTGACTGTGTTCAATCATGGTGATTGAAATGTTTTCAATCTTGTTCTACTTTTTAATGTAATGAATGTATCTGAGCCCACCCAACTCTGAAGACGCTTATTGATTTTAAGTATTGACTGAAATATTCTTAGACTAATGTTAATTGGTTATCAATAGATTGATAAAAAGAGTGAATCTGTAAGAGAATATTTTAATCTGATCTGTTTATAGAGCTTCTTATTGTTTCTTTGAATCTGTGATACTGCAAACATCTGATTGTAGTCACTCAAAGACTCCTCTGTAAGTTGAGGTCACAGGTCAAACGCTTCTACTATATCCGTGGGGGAGGGTTGAGACCTGGCTGCATCTCTTTGAGACAAGGAGATTATTGTCTCCCATTTAATAGCTAATTAGGTATACGCGGGTTTCTGTGAGCCCGCCTTTCCTCATGTTGATGCGTGTTGGGTCTATTCTGGGGCAGAGATCATGATGGTTGTAGAGTTATATTTGTATTTATTCATGTTAGCAAACTATGGATAAGCTTAAAATGGGAATAATGTGGGTAAAACTGTGAGCTGGATATGGGGCCTGTTGACATGTGTTTTTGAGGACAAAGGAAGATGGGGGAAGGTGAGAGCATGTCCTGATTTGCATTCAACTTAGAACGAGCTACAGTGGTTGTGATATTAAGAGAGGTCCCTTGGGTTTCTCTGGTGGTTATCAATAGTAGCAGTTAAGTGAATACTGTTCAAACAATACCTGTGTTTGTGTTTTATATTGATTTCTCTGTTTTATCCTTTCATAAATGTAAGGACTACAAATGGCTATAAACATTCTGGGCTGGTTGGAGTAAACAGGGTTTTATTGCTCTGTGGGGGAGGTGTAGGTATGCAGGCCTTGAGACCTTTTGTTGTAAAGTGAGCCTGTTTGGTTTCCTGCTGGCCAGCGTTGCGTCTCCCAATGAGATGACCTGAAAAGATGACCAGCTGACCTAAACCCTAACCCCTCCTTCTTGCTCTGGTATATCTCCGGTGGATCCCTGGCGTTCGGTCTCTCTTCACATGCTGCCTCGAGCGGAAGGATCTCCGCAGCACGCGAACCAGGGCAGGAGTAAGCCGGCATTACTCCTTAAGCATTACAATATAACTGTAATATATCATGTTGTATTGTAATGATTGTATTGCATTGTCATATTGCCATTAAAGTAGATTATTGTTAACGGTTACTTTGTAGATATGGATTCCTTCCTGTATTATAACCAGCTTCATAGGAACGCGCAGAGATTTGAAAAGCGGACCAGTTATCCCTTTTAATCTCTAACATGGTGGAGCACAGGACAGTGTGAAACTAAGATGATCTCCCGGCCGTAATGTATTAATGTACTGTGTTCAATAAAACTCTCAGTGCTTTGGCTAACGACGGTTCCAGACTCCTTCATTCTACCTCAACATTGCAACAACAGAAGTTTATCTTCACATTACTCAGATTGTGGACAGTCCTACTCGCCCTAACATTAAGTCCCCTAATAAATCCTCCCTAATTGATCTCATTTTAACTAATGTTCCCCATAAATATTCATCTGTGGGAGTATTTGCAAATGATCTGAGTGATCACTGTGTTGTAGCCACAATTAGGGACACTAAGGTCCAAAAGGTTAAACATTTTGTGGAGCAGGGTTTTGTGCATGATCTGTTTGATTTTGATTGGGGTAAAATTGATCTGTGTGCTGATGTAGAAACCGCATGGTCTTATTTTTTATCTTGGTTTTATGGAGATCATTGATAGACATGCACCCCTGCGTACATTTAGAGTAAAGGGACGAGACAATCCTTGGTTTTCTGCTAATCTGTCCAGTCTCCTTCATGAGAGAAACAAGGCCTGGGCAAAGGCTAGGAAATCAGGCTCAGAGGTAGAATGGCTGCGTTTTAGGCAGCTAAGGAATAGCTTCACATCGCAAATCAAAAGTGCTAAATCAAAGTACTATCTGTCAGTAACCACAAAGAATCTGAATAATCCTGGAAAATTTGGAAAGCCATTAAATCGTTATCCACCGGCAATATCCGTAATGAGCTACCTCCGGGCATTACCACAGCATTTGTCACTATATCGGACAGGGCTACTATGCAAAATTGCTTTAATGAGCATTTTGTGTCCTGTGGTTCTCTATTTGATTCTGTCACTAACTCTGCTTCTGTGAACACTACAGTATGTGACTCTGAAAAACGTGTGTTGGAAAACCCTTTTAGTTTTACCCCTTTTACTGTTGATGTTATTCGTGAAGCTTTAACCAAGTTAGATCCTAAGAAACCGGCCGGCCCGGACAACGTAGAACCTTTATTTTTAAAGATAGCTGCAGATTTTATTGCTCCACCTCTCACTACTCTTTTTAACCTCTCCCTCAGCACTAACACAATTCCAAAATTGTGGAAGTCAGCGTATGTCCTGCCTTTGCTAAAAGGAGGGGAGGCCACCTTATTAAATAACTATAGGCCAATCTCTAAGTTGTCAGTTCTGGCTAAGGTTCTTGAACGCTTAGTGAGTGAACAGGTAAAGGTGTTTTTATGTACAAATGACATCCTGTCTAAACATCAGTCAGGCTTCAGAAAGCAACATAGCACCATCACTGCCACAATGAAAGTGGTGAATGATGTGGTGAGTATTTTAGATAATAAGCAGAGTTGTGCAGCTCTATTTATTGACCTTTCAAAAGCGTTTGACACCGTTGATCATCGCATCTTAAAGCAGAGGCTAGCCAGTATAGGCATGTCCAGCCATGCAGTGGGGTGGTTTGTAAACTACCTCTCTGAAAGGTCCCAATGTGTTCACTTTGATGGGCTGTCTTCTGAGTGGTTGAACATTGCAAATGGTGTTCCCCAAGGTTCTGTTTTAGGTCCACTTTTATTCTCCATCTACATCAACAGTTTAGGTGAAAATGTGGATGAAGCTACTTTACATTTTTATGCGGATGATACCGTGATGTACTGTGCAGGTCCCTCCATTAAGGAGGCTGGTGTTAAATTACAGGCTGTTTTTAACATTATTCAGACTCAGCTCTCTGAACTAAAGCTTCTTTTAAATGTTGAGAAAACCAAGGTAATGCTCTTTTCTAAAGCTAAAAAGACACCAGAGCCTGTTTTAGATATTGTAACTACGCAAGGAATAAAACTTGAAGTGGTTACCTGTTACAAATACTTGGGTATCTGGCTTGATGACTGTCTCACTTTTAAACTTCATGTCAATAACCTGCTTAAAAAGCTGAGGGTTAGGCTAGGTTTCTTCTACAGGAACAAGTCCTGTTTCTCGCTTAAGGCCAGGAAAAGGCTAGTCACTGTGACCTTTTTACCTGTGCTGGACTATGGTGATTTGATGTATATGAATGCACCTGCCAATTGCCTGGTCAAGTTAGATGCTGCGTATCACAGTGCACTGAGATTTGTGACAAACTGTAAAGCATTAACCCATCACTGTACCCTGTATGCAAGGGCTGGTTTACTTTCACTAACTGTACGGAGGCTCAGTCACTGGTACATTTTTATATACAAAGCCATGTTAGGGAAACTTCCATCTTATATCTGCTCCCTGATCTCACAGAAAATTGTAAGTGGCTACTGCCTGAGATCGAATGCTGTGGTTTTATTAAATGTGCCAACTGCTAGGACTGTCTTAGGGAAGACAGCTTTTAGATGCGCAGCTCCTCTGTCTTGGAATAGTCTGCAAATTAAATGGAAACTGAACAATCTGGTGCCACTAAATGTTTTTAAAGCTCGGTTGGATGCTACTCAATCGGAAGCTATTGGTACCTGTTTATGTGGATAATTATGTAAATGATGCTGTATGATGTCCTTTTGTTGTTCTATTTATGTTTTTATGTTTCATGTGGAACTACTTGAGCAGGTCTCCCTTGAAAAAGAGATCAATGATCTCAATGGGATTTATCTGTATAAATAAAGGTTTGAAATGAGTGATGACAGCTTGTAGGATTACTGGTCGTGCTAATGTTATCTTGTGTTCGCCTCTGCATGTATGTTCTGTGTTCACCTCTGTGTGTTCTGTGCCGTGTGTCTGACAAATAAAGACCGGTTTATTTATTTCATTTTAAGGATGAGCACCAAGCAACATCTCCAGGTGCTCCTTTGAGAACCAGGGCAAACAAGTGATGTGCACCCCTGGTTATTATTATAATGGCCTGCGACTGTCAGCTCATTGCACACCTTTTATTTGTTTACTTTGTATTTAATTTATTTTTAGTTAAAGTTTTATACACTGTGTTAGTGTAAATATTTTTGTATTCCTGTGTTTAGTGAAATATTTTTGGTATGAGTGAATTATGTTGGTATTAGGTGTTGTTTTGTCCCCTTATTATTTACAATAATTCTATACAAATGGTTTTAATTATAAATATCACAAAGATAAGAATGGTATTTATTAACCAATCAAGTTGGACGTGACATCAAGGTATTCACAATGACAACAAGAAAATAAATAGGACAAAGGCCTTGGTCAAGGGCCAGTCTGATACCAAAAAGTAAATAATTAACATCTTGATCATATATTATGTGTCAACATATTCAACTCATCATCATGTATTCCTCTCCACATTTTATACTCTAATTTATCTCCCTACTATCTCCCATGTTATATATCTCCTTTTTCCTTTTAGGGCATTAAATAATAACAGCCAAATGAGAATACATACTGGGCTTAAGTTATTATCTGTCAGTGGACGGGCTGCAGAGAAAAGGAGGGGCAAACACATGTCACATGTCCGCAGCAAAGGCATAGGTGCTCAGCCCTCCTGCTATTTGAACACACACAAACACTGCATGCAGTAGACACAGCAGACACGATGGCAGTGTTACTCGGTAGTTACTCTATTGCTTTATTTGGAACCAGCTTTGTCATTGCTACTCTGACTTACATCACCTACAGGCTGCTCAGTGGTTACCTGCACAAATGGTTCACAATGAAGCCTATTCCAGAGTTGGAAGGAACATATCCGATCATTGGAAATGCACTAATATTCAAAAACAATCCAGGAGGTAAGACAAAAATCAACATTCTGCTACAGGAGGCTGCATATGATACAAAAGACTTGACTGAAAAAGTTAGTGTTTACTTGATGCTGTATAATTATATGTAATTATATATTTGTTTTTCAGATTTCTTTAGTCAAATTCAGGATTTTGTCCAGGAGTTCAGGGATGCACCGCTATTTAAAATCTGGATTGGAACACTTCCATGTGTGATTTTGTTTCATGCTGAGAATGTTGAGGTACAGTGACTGACAACTCTACATTTAAACACCAAGTATGCACTCAGTGGGTGTATCTGTGAATGTCCACATGTATTTTCTTCTGAATATGTAGTCTCAGTAGTTGAATAAGAGTAAAACATGTGTGTCTTTTTTTTAATGCACATTCTGTGTAAAGCAATTATAGTCAGTGTTTGCAACAAATATATTAGCAAAACACCCACATATTGAAGCACTTTCGTTCATTATACACTCATTAAATGAGGCAGAAGTATGCTACGTTGAAACTCAATCCAGCAAATCACCCTGAGTAGACCTTAACCTCGCACTCCCTATGATAACATGGTCTTTTGAATGTCATTGCACTTTTACACACTGCAGCCACTGCTACTGCTACATGATTGCAACTGTGCACGTCTGCAGTTTTTGAATAACAACATTGCTGTTTCATTGGTTATTCTTTCTTACGTTTACATTTTGTTTTGCACTTGTTTCTTGCAGACCGTTCTGACCAATGCGGTTCATATGGAGAAATCCTATGCATATACCTTCCTTTACCCTTGGCTTGGAACTGGACTTCTTACTAGGTATCTTTCTCTGGCTCTTTCTGCTTGATATTACACGACTGTTGTGATGATGATCATAAAATAGCACACATCTGGCTTTAATACGTAAAAAGAAAAACAAAGTCCTAGCATAAAGAAAACTGTCTGGCTTTGAACAACAACAAAGACAACAAAAATATCATTCTCAATGATAACATAATAGGACCACGACTCCCAGATGCATACTATAGAAGAGTAAGTCCAGAGGTAGAAGAAGTAGTCAGATTGTTTACTAAAATAACATTTAAAGCACCAGATTTTTTTTTAGAACAATTATTGGTGCATTCATTTGTTCACCACTTCACTGTTGAACATGGCAAATGTGGGGTTTGTTTGAATTATTTTATACACTACTGTTTAACCTATATAATAGGTTAATATAATAGGTGTCGATTTATGTCTTGTATTAATAACTTACATTTTTAAAGCAACTAACTAAATATGTAAAATAAAGGTAGTGGAATAAAGTAACAGTTCAAACTAGCATAATGTAAACATCCTTAAGTAAACTTCAAGTACCTAAATGTATTACTTAAGTACAGTAAATATATTTTGTTACATTACACCACTGACTAAGTCTAAGAAGGTTCTTGCAGTGTGTTTACATTGAAATTAAAAAAACATTGTTTATATCAGCCAGAAGGTGGTGGTGGAGAATTATAAATGTTTAAAAAGTGAATTGCATAATAATTTGTGGACGTTTGGGGTGAGGGTTGATAACGTTTAAGGGATTACCACTATTAATGTGGTTCATTTACATGGATTATTTGTAATCAATTATTCATTTAAACTGAAGGTTGTGTTTGAAATAAAAGGATCACCGCCCGGGGAACAATAGTGTGTGTTCCAGTGGAAATACCAGGAAAAAGGCCAGAGGGTCACTCCAAGTTTATTCTGTTGTTATCACGTCCACAACCAATTCTATTTAGGCTAAGGCTTGTAACACAAGGTCTCTAAAGTCTAATGAATGGTATATGTAGAGCACATAAGATGAGGTGTGGAGATACGGAAGGAGTCAGCGGTGCAATAAATGTATTGATGAGTAAAAGCATGGTATGTAGCAGATGCTAAAATAAAAAACAACAACAAATGTGTTGAGAATAGAGGAGCCGTCGATAACTAACTCCCTAAATGTTCTAAAATGTCAAAGGGAAGATCTTAACCGAAAGTTCATCATTGCCACTTCTGTAATTTGGTTTCATCCTGTACCTTGACCTAAGATTTATATAAGGATATGTAAATAGGATGTTGTTCTTCCTAACCCTTTAACTCTCTTTGTTGTCTTCTTCTTTGGGTCAGCACTGGCCCTAAGTGGCGTCAGCGGCGGAAGATGTTGACCCCCACCTTCCACTTCTCCATCCTGACAGAGTTCTTGGAAGTGATGAACGAGCAGGCGGAGATCCTGGTGGAGAAGCTGGAGAAGCAGGCGGGGAAGGGTCCATTTAACTGCTTTAATCACATTACCCTGTGTGCCCTGGACATTATCTGTGGTGAGTATATTTGAAGTGAATGTGACTAGGACAATAAGAAAGATGTCCAACAAATATCCAACATTTATTTTTCAGAAACCGCAATGGGAAAGAAGATTCACGCCCAGAGTAATTCTGACTCAGAATATGTTAAGAGTGTGTACAAGTGAGTAATCTTTTCATCACAACACAGACAATAATAGAGTTATTGGGTCAAATTGTATGATTATTATGAATATTTTGCCTCCATCCTTACTTTGTGTGTTTAGGATGAGTGACATTATCAGCCGCAGACAGAGGACACCTTGGTTTTGGCCTAACTTTGTGTACAATTACTTTGGTGATGGGCAGGAGCATGACAAGACACTCAAGGTCCTGCACTCCTTTACAAACAAAGTGAGTAATGGAGCCTGTGGTTTGAACATCTAAATGTGGAGAATTTGTTGAATCAATATAAAGCATTCAGCCTTAACCTTGACCCTCATTTCTTCTCAGGTGATACATGAAAGATCTGAGAAAATGTCCCATATTGAATCAGATAACGACTCTGACAATGGCACAAAGAGAAGACGAGCATTTCTGGACATGCTCTTGATGACCACAGATGAAGATGGCAACAGGATGAACAATCAGGAAATTCAGGAGGAAGTGGACACCTTTATGTTTGAGGTTGGTGGATACAAATATACAACTAAGAATATGTACGTATGTATGTATGTATTTATTTCTCCTCGACATACATGCACATTCCTAACGCTTCTCTCTGTCTGCTGAATGTGTACAACAACACATTCACTATAATAACTTTATTATTTTATGGCTCATTTTCAAGCTTTTTTCTCTGTCCCCAAGTGGTCCTAACAAAATTAATTAACCCAGCCTCACAGTCGTAAGTATTTTTTATGTTATTTGTATTCAACTCCCCTTTTTCTGCAGGGCCATGACACTACAGCAGCCTCCATGAACTGGGCCGTGCATTTGCTGGGCGCCCACCCCGAGGCGCACAGCCGAGTTCAACAAGAGCTCCAGGAGGTGTTCGGTAACATGCCCTCTCCCCAAATACCACACCTTCCCACTTTCATGACATCATTTGTTTTCCTTCCCAAAGGCCTTTTGACTCAGATGTATCTGTTACAAGTCTAATGGGGCTTATACAGAGATATTAGCTGTGAAATATTTGCCTAAAAACATAAAGAAGAATTTAATTATTTTCACTCCTCTGTGGATTTACGATGGCCTCAAAGCATTTTTCCACGACGTAAGCTGGATGGCTCTGTTGATGCTAAGCTAACACCAGGTTGATGTTCTATATTTTTATTATAGGCCTATTTAAAAATGTTACATTACCTAACTGCAGATTTCTATACAATCAATTTCTATATAATCAATTTGTTCCAATAATAATTGTCAAATTAGATAAAAGGTCAGGTCATCTATTGAAATGTATGCAGTAAAGCATTGACTTTTTAACTCCTAATTAAAAGCAACATATCAATGGGGTGTGTCACTTAAACAATGTAGTACGATCAAACTCTTATCTACCATAGAAGTAGAATATATGTCAAGGATATAGAAGTAGGAGAAAGTACAAAACGTTAGCAGTCTGACCTCATTTACACTCTGTGAGGTTTATGTACTGCGTTCTGACTTTAACACTGTTTTTGTTTATTGGACAAAGGTACATCTAACCGGCCTGCTAACATGGAGGACCTGAAGAAGCTCAAATACCTGGAGTGTGTGATCAAGGAGGCCCTGCGACTGTTTCCCTCTGTGCCTTTCTTTGGCCGCAACATTGGTGAAGACTGCCATATCAGTGAGTGATCACACTTCAATAAAACATTCAACAAATTATGTATTAGATAAGAAGCCAGGGTAGGCCAGTCTTTCACCTGAAACATTATTTATTTGTGAGATTACATTTATTATATGATGTTGTTTGACCTTTGTTACTGAACTTTGTAGCAATTTCACCTTTTACCTATTCCTCAATACAAAATATGATTACAAAGTTATCTAAATCCTTAGGGATGATGGCCAACGTAGAACAATAAGACCCACCGTTCTATAACAGTAACTCAGTTTATTTATACCTGTAGATGGTTTCAAGGTGCCCAAAGGTGCAAATGCCATCGTTGTGACCTATGCTCTCCACCGTGACCCGCGCTACTTCCCTGAGCCCGAGGAGTTCAGGCCTGAGCGCTTCCTGCCTGAGAATGCAGTGGGACGGCCTCCGTATGCGTACATCCCCTTCTCCGCTGGACTCCGCAACTGTATCGGTAAGAAACGGGAAAGGTTTGATTGTCTATAGTTGATCAGATCTGTCAAGCATATTTTCCATATTTTCTTCAGAGATTCTCTGGAGAGTAACCACTGATTGTGTTTGTTTGTAATCCCCCTCAGGTCAGCGTTTCGCTCTCATGGAGGAAAAGGTGGTCTTGGCAGCCATCCTGCGTAACTTTAGTGTTGAAGCTTGTCAGAAACGTGAAGATCTGCGGCCTTTAGGAGAGCTCATCCTGCGACCAGAGAAGGGCATCATTATTCAGCTGGAAAAGAGGATTTTATCAAACTAGCACCTGCTCAGGTTGACAGAAGATATGCACTAAATACATTGACCTTTGTGATCTTTATTTACACCGCTCTCATGGTGGTGGATTCTTTCTTTTTTAAATGGTCTTAGAGCGTCAGGTAGAGTTGTGATCTTGGTGTTTGGATTTTACAATCTTCTCACCATTATAGTCTTCATAATTACAAAAAACTAAGCTTTATGACAATAATTTAAAACATATTGTTTTCTTTCCTTGAATTAGCTACATAATGCACAACTCGAACTCAACTACAACAACAACAACAACAACCAAGAATGTAGAAAAATCCCTTTAAAAATATGTAATTTAATTGTAGGTATTATGTTGCTAAGAAGAGCTAAGCAATGCCAGTATTTTGGAACTAATGTTAAAGGTTAATAAAACTTTCTTTAACAAATTTAGCTTTTGAAATACATTTTGATGATGGTGCTTCGTCCCTGGTTTTAGTCACTGCCATCCAGCTTAACAGTTACATTTGTGTACCCATTCTATTAAGAAATTTACTTTTTGTCATCTAAAGAAAATGTTTGCTAAAAGGTTGGCTCAAGTCCAATAAATGTTTTAAAAAATAACCTTTATTTGACTTATTTCAGTTTTGATATTTATGGCAGGAAGTGGCTTTTGAAAGCATCAATTAGGTAGAAAAACGATTGTATGTCTACTTTTATGAAGTAATCATATTGATAATTCATTATTGCATTGATAGAAAATCCCCGTAATTTCCCAAAAAGCAAGGAATAAATCGCCTCTTTGTGGTCAGCTTTAATATAGTGGGGCATGCTCCCCCGGGATTTTTTTTTAAATATTGAAGTTAGATGCATCAATCTGGTACACTTTGAGAGCAAAATGAAGAGATATATGGATACCTCTCAACATCCATATGAAACAACTGTAAACAGATTTACTTTTTCTTTATGGATATAAAAGAAAGTAAAGCCTAACCTACTGGCAGCTGGTTAAATGACTCCTCGTCCCTGAGTACACTCACCATCTTTCAGCAGGAAAGGAGACAGGAAATCCTTGTCCGGCGACAAGTATCATCATGCTATCTAGTGGTTATTAGGGATGTAACGAGATATCGAATATCGCGATATCACGGTAAATAAATGTCTCAATACCGTCGTGAGACTGACAAAATCTACCGCGATTTTTCTTCCATTTTTTCTTTTCAATATATTTTTTTTTTAAACCTTTATTCAACCAGATGGTCCCATTGAGATCATCTATCTCTTTTTCAAGGGAGACCTGTCCAGCTTGGCAGCAAGTAGGTTACAACATGACTGCTTCTTCCGTGACTTATCCACGCATCAGATGTCATGGCCCTCCCGCTGCACGCCATCCGAAGGTTCGGTGGATTCGCCCTGTCTTTCCGGAGCTGCGGCCTCTGCTGGGCCCGCTGGCAGCTCCTCCTGCCCGACTGACTGCTCCCGGTCCGCGCGGCGTTCAACACGCACATCTTCGTCAGCTGAGACACACTACACCTTCGGCCAGCCCGGAGAGAAAACTCTGCATGGCTTTGCTAAATGTTAGGTCAATAGCAAACAAGACGTTCCTGTTAAACGACTTCTTCACCTCTCATGATCTGGATTTAATGTTCCTGACGGAGACCTGGGTCCACACCGGCGAGTATGTACCGTTTTCTGAACTTCTTCCTCCCGACTGTACTTTCTTCAGCTCCCCCCGTACCACCGGCCGTGGTGGGGGTATAGCTTCAGTGTTTAGAGCTAATCTCCAATGCCGTTTGCTTCACCCAGTAACTAGCTATGCTAGCTTCGAGTTGCAGCTTTTTGAATTGAACCCAGCCTCGCCTATACTCTGCGCAGTCGTGTATCGTCCGCCAAAGTACAATAATGATTTCATAACTGACTTTTCTGACTTTTTGTCCGGGATCATGGTGAAATATGATCGTGTTTTGATCTGCGGAGACTTTAATGTCCATGTGTGCTGTGAGTCTAAAACTCTGGTTAGGGATTTTTTAAACCTCCTCGACTCTTTCGGTCTTATTCAGTCTGTGGCTGGCCCAACACACGATAAAGGACACACCTTGTAGTATTATCGTTTGGATTGTCTATCTCTGTGGATGAAATCTGTGCAGGAACGCGTATCTCAGACCATTTACCGGTTCTGTTTACAACCTCGATCCCTTCTGTAGCAGTCGAATCACGTGCTTCTGCGCGTTGTCTGCGTTCAATTAACCCCTTGACTGCCTCACAGTTTTCAGATGCTTTTAATACTTATCCGATTTGTAAATTAGAGGTGAACTGTGCTTTTAGTGCGGATGAGCTTATCTCTTTGTTTGATTCGACATGCACACTAATACTGGATTCCGTTGCTCCTTTTACGCTTAGACGCAACAAAGTTCTCTCAGAGCCGTGGCTCAATGATTGTACTCGCGCTTTTAGACGCGCTTGCAGGCGTGCAGAGAGAAAATGGAAAAAGGATAAACTTAATGTCTCCTTAGAAATTCTTCGTGCTTGCCTTTCCGATTATCAGACGGCAGTTAAAGCAGCCAAAACAGAGTATATTTCTCTGTTAATCTCCAAAAACAGCCATAAACCTCAAGTTCTTTTTAATGTCCTCAATTCGATCATTAATCCTTGTGATGCTTCTCCAATTGTGCCATCAACTACTCTCTGCGATACATTTCTTAAATTTTTTATCGAAAAAGTATCTGCTCTTAGGCTAGCCTATACTAGTGCTACCCCAGATCCTGCTCCCTTTCTGTGCCCTGCTGTCCTCGACCATTTTGAGCCTGTATCCCTCTCATCTCTCTCGGATGTAGTCAAGCACCTGCGGCCGACAAACTGCACCTTAGACAGCATTCCCTCTCGCTTCCTTAGAGATGTTTTTGAATCAGTTGGAGCAAGTGTTTTATTACTTGTAAACACCTCTCTTAGCTCAGGATGTGTCCCAGCTGCCTTCAAACATGCCGTGGTTAAGCCACTACTTAAAAAGAAAAATCTCGATCCCTCCATTCTCGCACATTTCAGGCCCGTCTCCCAGCTACCCTTTTTATCTAAAGCCCTGGAGCAAGTAGTCTACGTCCAGCTGCAGTCATTTTTAACCACGCATGGCATCCATGAAAAATGTCAGTCTGGCTTTAAACCTATGCATAGTACTGAAACAGCCCTTTTAAGAGTTTTTAATGATCTGCTCTTAGCCACCGACTCAGGCAGCCCAGCTGTCTTGGTGCTGTTAGATTTAACTGCTGCCTTTGACACTGTGGATCATAGTATCCTGTTGTCACGGCTTGAACAGTCCGCAGGCATTACAGGCTCTGCCTTTGCATGGTTCAGGTCTTATTTGACGGACCGTAGCTTCTCAGTGCAGTTAGGTGCCTTCTCCTCTGCCAAAGCCCCTCTTACCTGTGGGGTTCCCCAAGGCTTGATTATGGGCCCCATCCTTTTTCTATTGTACATACTGCCCCTAAGTTCAATTCTCACAAAACATAATATCCCCTTCCATTGTTACGCTGATGATGTACTGATCTATCTGCCTCTCAATTAAAATGCCAACTCACTACAGCAGTTGAAGGACTGCTTAACAGAGATTAAATCCTGGCTGAGCCAAAACTTCCTTACCCTCAATGAGAGCAAGACCGAGGTCATTTTTTTTGGACCCCAACCAAGTCTCCCCGGTTGATATTCTGGGCTCCCTCAATAAAAATATCCTCCCCTCTGTTATGAACCTTGGAGTGACCTTCAACAGCGCCTTTAAATTTGATAAGCAGGTTAGCACTGTAGTCAAGACCTGCTTTTTCAAAATATGACTATTGGCTAAGACCAAGCGTTTTTATCTTTTAAAGACCTATAAAGTGTTATTAACGCCTTTGTTACCTCGAGACTGGATTACTGCAATGCTCTGTATGTGGGTATGGACCAGGCCTCAATTAGACGCCTCCAGCTAATTCAGAATGCAGCTGCACGTCTTCTCACTGGCCATAAAAAGCGCGACCATATCACCCCAATTCTGGCTTCATTGCACTGGCTTCCAGTTCGGTTCAGAATAGATTTTAAACTCCTTTTATTTGTTTTTGAAGCCCTAAATGGGCTGGCTCCTGCCTATATAGCCGAACTCCTCCATCGCTACGCCCCAGGCAGAGCCTTAAGGTCAGCTGATCAGCTGCTGTTGATAGTGCCTAAGACCAGGCTTAAAACCCGAGGGCATCGAGCTTTCGCAGCGGCTGGACCTATAGGCTCTGGAATACTTTGCCCCTCCATGTGAGGTCGGCCCAGACCCTGGGGGTTTTTAAATCAATACTTAAAACTCACTTTTTCTCTCTGGCTTTTGTTTAATTATCTATTTATTCATTTATTTAGTTATTTATTCATTTAGTTCTTTATTTTAATATTTATAACATAACATAGAATTTCATAAAGTATTTTTAAAATAGTTTATACATTATTCGAATATAGGAATAGTAGATAGGATTAATTAAAATATAGTACCTTATATTTCATATTTTTTCCCTTTAGACCCTTGCGGTTTATTCTTAAAAACCCTTACCCTTACCCACCCCCCATTTTCCCTCTGCTGGTCTATGGCCTTGTAGAGGGTAACGGGGTACAGAGTCGCTTAGATAAGCGGGGGAGTGCATCTGACGAAGAGATAGGTTGTTGTGCTCCCTATCTCTGTTTCTTATCCTATATCTAATAGAACTGCTCGGGTCTTGATAGATTGAGTGGGGAAGTTCATGAGATCTTTCTAGAGGGTTATCAAGAATAACTTTTATCCAATGACCTTTTCCCTCTCTGTCTGTGTCTGTGTATTCTCTTGTTCCGATTAACCCAGTCAAATCTTTTTTCGGTAACACTTTATATTAAGGTACACAAATTAACCATCAACTAGTTGTTAATTAGCATGCATATTAGCAGTATAATGGCTCTTTATTAGTCATTATACAACACTTATTAATGCCGTATTCTACATGACCATATTCTACAAGTAATAAGCCATTAGTTGAGAGTTTTTCCTCAATAACACTCTAATTAGTGCTTATTTATTGCAAGTAAGGAAGTTGTTGTAGGCCTACATGAGTTTTGGTCTTAATATGCGCTGCTCAATATGGGCGTAATAAGGCAGAAGTAGCACAAGAATAGTAATTCTCCCATAATAACACTTAACAAATATGATCTATTCTTATGGAACAAGACATGAAACTATAAGTGTTAATTGTGTCTAAATAATTCAAAATTAGGTATTTATATCTTATAATATATTTTGGGGTATTGACAGTTCAGCTACCAATAGCAAGGTGATATTGACCTGTATGTTTCATATTTGCACATTTATATTTTTGTAAAATGTGTACTGAAGGTTAGACCCGGGTACAGGAAGTAGGAGAACGTGAACGGAATATAATGGCAGTAGACTTGAGTACACTGCCACTAATTTTCCCTATGCAACCTGAAGAGTAAAAGGGTCACGTCCGTCAGAAAGCAATGACTGTAAGTGTGAGCCTTACACTTACACTGTAAGGATTAGTAACATGTATTGTGTTTATGTGATGACATGTGGAGATGTTTAAACTCAATGAGAAAATGCGTTAGTATTCGCGCTAGCGTTAGCATAC